GTGTTTAAGTGAAGATTCAAAGATAATATCTTCTTTATATTTCTTCTGAAAAGAAGACAAAAGAATAAAAAGAAAGGTTAGGAACAATTGTGGCTCTGTCTTAAATGCCTACAAAACTACTTTTCCCTCTACATCAAAAGTAAAAATAGGAGTACTGCTAACAATGGGGAAAATTCAACAGGGAAAAACTGGTCATGCACTACGATAAGAGGTAACAAAACTCTTATAATTTCAATGATCTCACCTTGAATTGCAAATTACTTATAATTGCATCAATTACAAGCTCTGAATTGCGACCAAAATAATAAGTGCCTAGAAGGTCAATATGAACAGTGATGTGATCACATCTCTAGAAGTAAAAAATAATTTTAAAAAAAAACATATCTCAATTCTCAAGTGTCTGTAGATGTATGTGTATGTGAGTATATCTGCGCTATGAATTTGTATATATGTAAACCAATCTGGTTCTCAAATACCTCGTAGACAAATGAGATTATGAGATACACAAATTTCTGCATCAAATTTCTTTACATTGGCAACTTTTTTTGTTGTAGTCAATCTCTTGGAAATTGTTAAGTTGAGGGAATACTCTATTAATATATATAAAACGAAAGTTCTTTTTGCGAATGATAGTGATGCACAGAATAGCAATATATAAACCTACAACCAAGCAATTTGATACATTACTTCCCCTTTGAATTGTAAAACAAAATTTCCAGTAAACACTGGTAGTAATCATAATTTTTAAATTACCAGACATTAGATATTACAAAAGAAACATGGTAAGTGTGAAGAATGAGAAATAAGATCATATATCTACAAATAAACCAAATTAAAGAAACCAATTCAATAAAAAAAAATGAGGATTCTAACTCACCTCTGTAAGCTATAATCAAGAGGTAGAGGATGAAGAAGAGACGGAGTAGAGAGTACTCCATTGGTACTGCAGTTGTGACATTTTTGCATAAACCATCCATTATCACACTCTAAAAGACAACAAAAATTGTGCACCAGACCAATAGAAACCAATGCCTCACTATCTCACAAAAAATTGAACAAAGCTTCTTGACTGACTTTGAATTCTCAACAGTGACTACATTTGTATCTATGTTTATGATAGAGCGGATAGCAACATTGAAGTTTGAGTAGCACATATGGGTGTAGAGCTGCCCAAAACATGAATAGAAACACTGCTTAGAATTGTACCAAAAAAATAAAAAGACAGAAATTAATAGTGTACTATGGTTGGAACCTTTGAAGGCAAACACATGAATATGATGATAAAAATTAATATCAGAATTAGAAAAAAAAATATGACAGATAAAGAAAGTATGGAAATGGAAAGTCATAAAGAAGAAAATTTCAACTATTTCAGTAGTTTTATTTGTCACTCTTGGAAAGGATTTTTGTCTAAATAAAATGACAAAAATTAATGTCAGAATTAGAAAAATAAAGATATGATAGATGAAGAAAATATGGAAATGGAAAGTTGTAAAGAACGAATTTACAACAATTTCAATAGCTTTATTTGTTACTCTTAAAAAGGATTTTCTTGAAACCTGAGCTTGTTCATTAATAGAGCAAAACGTCTGGGGAGATAAAGGTCATCGTAAGAGGAAGAGTTTTATTATATACAAATAAACCAACAAATCTGTAAAACCATGCTTAATATTTGCTCGTTTATTTGTATATAATAGGTGTTATATAGTTCATGAAGCAAAAAAAGTTCTTCATTACAAATTTATAGCCACGGACTAGAACCTCTATTTCTATGTCACTTGTAAGAGCTAGATAATGACCATTAACTTGTGGTTTTGGCCTGAAATCATAATAAACATGGTTGTAACATTCAAAAAATCGAACAATCAAAAGCAAAGAAATATCACTTTGAAGCTCATGCTTCTTACAAACAATTGAACAACCAAAAGCAAATAAATTTCACCTTGAAGTTCACATCTCTTACGACATGCTTTCCTCCAAATACTTTGTAGACATCCCTACATTCAATAAGCACATCTAACTCATCCTGAAGCTCCTTTCCCACACTCAAGTTATCTTTTTCGTGTGAACCTTGGAAAAGAAATAGACAGATAGATTGTTTCGTGAACTTACTGTGATAAATTTGAATAAAAGTACTATAAGATCAATTACATGGATATATAGCTTCATGAACTCACTAAAATTATGTTATTAGAAGTAAGCTCAATCAAATTGAAGCTTTAATAACTGCCATCGAAACATGAGCCAATTCTGTAGATTACTCATTGAACCAAAAGATATGAAGAATGAAGTTTGAAAAATTTATATATTTACAAACATAATCAAGAATGATAGATAAGTAAAATAAACCATGAAAGATTAATCACCATAGGATATCATCAAGAACAAACTCATAAATTAAAAAGAAATAAAAAAGAATCAACTGGATTTCCAACTGTAACCATATCTAAAAATAAAACAACAATCCCCATTAAAGAATACAAAGACAACAATTATCACTTAAATTTGTAATCTCTTTTGAAGAATAAATACAAATTTAAGGAATAATATAAATGAGTGTGCAAGTTCACAACGAAAAAAATAATCTAGAAGCAAATGAATTAACAAGAAACATATCATACGACAAATTATCATATAAAGTCATGTTTTGCTCAACAAACAGCCAAACAAATAATTCAATTAATAAGTCAAACAATTTTCAAGTTCAAAAATGAAAGTAGGTGTGAAATTCATTCTACATTCATCTTTGGGAAATATCAAGACAATCTACACAGTGTTTCTTATGTGTTATTAATCATGTCTGAAAATTTCTCAATGAAAGAAGTTGTACACTTCTCTAGTTAATAATTCATATTGAATGTCTAGGCACGAAATCTAGTTTCCTGACATATTATTAAAAATCATCGGATCATGTGTGTTGAATTTGCTATTGGAGCATTAGTATTTTCCATGTG